GCAGCAGGATTCACCTGTCAGGTGAAGCAATCGGCGGCAGCACTGCCGCCGATTGCTTTCACACAGGGCCAGTCTCTCCGTGCCCCCGGAGTGAGGTTTCCCGGGCTCCGCTTGCCCATCTGCAGGCCCGGCTCGCTGTCGGCTAGAAGGGAGGGAGAAGCTCACGGTGTCAGCCTCTCCCCTGCTATATGTCCCAGGCTCCGCTTGCCCATCTGCGAGCCTGAGACTGGTTCAGTGGGTGCAGTGGGATGTGGTATAGGGGAGGGAGGAGAGCAGACGCATCCAATCCGCTTCCCTCCCCTTCTTCTGACCCGGAGGTGATGTGACGTCACTTCCGGGTCCCATTCGACAAGATTCCCGCTCATCGAGGCCGGGAAAGAATGTAATGCGGTGCTATGTGTCTTTTAGACCCTGGGTGTCTCAAAAAAGAGAACCTGTCACCAAAAATCATCACATAGGGGACTTTTAATACGGGACTTTTAAGTTTTAATTTTCTTTATTTTAAATGGAAGTTACTCCCAAACATATATAAGGCCCCCACCCACACACATGTACGCATGCACAAACGTAAAAGCACATGTTTGGGTGCCTACACTACACATGAAAATGTGGATTGCGATACACATGTTACATATCGCCAGACTTCCTCTGTAACACTATACTGATGACCTATAAGGGGCTTTAAAAATGTCGCCTATAGAAAATAGAGGGTTACAAAAGTTTGTTGCCGTTTCACAAGCGCACGCAAATTTAAGGTTTGACATGTTGGATATCTATCTACTCACTGCAACCTCATTTTTTATATTTTACAAAAAAAAATTGGATACTTTATTGCTTTTTGTGCCCAAACGGCATGACTAGGTTCTCAAAATGTCTGAAGCGCGTTCTGAAGGCGGTCTTCCATTCATCGCCCTCTCTTATATGGACTAAATTGTAGGCCCCCCGTAAGTTCAATTTAGTGAACACTCGGGCTGTTCGAAATCTCTGAAACAACTCGGGCACCAAAGGAAGAGGATACCGGTTTTTAATGGTAATTTTATTAAGTTCCCTATAGTCAATGCAAGATTTGAGAGACCGATCCTTTTTTTTCTACAAAGAAAATACCAGCCCCGGCAGGAGAGGAAGAGGAGATTCTCATCTAGATAGTGCTGGAGGGCTTCCAGTTCAAGTTCGGACAATGGGAAAATTCGCCCAAATGGTATTTCTGCCCCTGGGAGTAACTCAATTGGGCAATGACCAGATGAGAAGGCAATGTGTCGGCCTTCTTCTCATCAAATACGTCAAGGAAGTCGTGGTAGGTAGAGGGAACTGATTGACTGGCCTCTGGTAGAGGTTGGACTGAGAGACATACAGAAGAATTGCTGAGAGCAGGAGCACCATAGTGTTGTAGGCAATATTCTGAAGAAAAGATGTTTTCCTACTTGGGCCAATTGATCTGTGGGTTGTGGGCTGGCAACCAGGGTATTCCTAGGATGGCTGGAAACGTTGGGGAATCTGATCACGTCAAAACGAATAAACTCCTGATAGCCAGAGTCGGTGGTGTTAAAAACCGCCTGGCAGAGTCTCTAGCAGCCCACCGCACGGACGCCCTCAGGGCGCGGGGTCTAAGTTCCAGCCTGCTGTTCACCAGGGCCCCTGATGGTGGGGATGGACTTGGTGCAGACTGGAACCAGGTCGTGACCCCCAAGTGCGTCCTGCGGTGGTAGAGAGTACTGACAGGGGAGTGCAGGAACGGAATCTAATTGGAAAATGCAGACAGATACACTGGTCTGATCCGAGCCGGATGGATGGTCGGGTACAGTATGCGAGGTCAGACAGGCCGAGTCGGTATTATGCGGGCAGCGAGGTACAATAGGAGCGAGCTAAGAATGGTCAGGTCACAAGCCAGGTTCAGCAGGATGCGGGCAAATACAGTACCAGGGATCAGACGGAAGAATAGTCAGGCAAGCCAGGGGTTAAGCAGGAGAAGAGCAGGATCAGGAACAAGCAGAGGTCGGCAACGGAGTATACAGCAACACAGAATCAGGAACAGGATACAAGACCAAACGGCAACTTGACATACCTGTTCCTATGTTTAAATAGCCCGCCTCCCGCTGTCATTGGTGCCAGGCGCGTGTCCGCGATCCTGGAGTAGTGCCATCCGCAAGTAAGACATCAAGTCTCTGTTTCTTAGGCAGAAGAGGGATGTGCAAATCCTTGGCCAATTGGATATCTAAGAAACCGCTACAAGCTCCCGAGTCAACGACTCTGCAGCTTGACATCCCTTCCAGCCACCTGCAAGACATAGGGAGAATGACATGGGTGGTTAAAGTCCCGGATGGCTGAAGGTACGAAGGATGGGGCTGGCTGGACTTACTTGGTCGTACTGGGCAGTTACGCAGGAAGTGGCACGTGTCCCCACAGTAAAGACAGAGGTTGCCTTGCTGTCTGCGTAGCCTTTCTTCCGGAGTTAGGGCAGGTCAGAGAAGGCCGATTTGCATAGGTTCTACCTCCGAAGTGTTGATGGGTTGTGGAGCAAGGGCAGGAGCCGTTGGTCTTGGAACTTTTTGCAGAACCCAAGTGGGCTGAAAGGTCTGAGTACGCTCTGCGCGTCTTTCCCGTAGACGCCAATCCAACTGAGTAGCGAGCAGGATAAGGTTCTCCAAGGAGGAGAGAGCTTCCACCCTAGCTAACTCGTCCTTGAGGGACTCGGACAGGCCTAGGTGGAACTGGTACTTCAGTGCTGCATCGTTCCAACCGGTGTCTGCAGACCATTTATGGAACTCCACTATGTAGTCCTCCACAGGCCGCTGACCCTGTAGTAGAACATGGAGGGCGGACTCCGCAGTGGAGGTCCTCTGGGGATCGTCGTAGAGGGCAGCCATGGCTTCAAGGAATTCACACACTGAATTAAGTGCTGGGCTCTTTTGTTCCAGAAGACCATGTGCCCAAGACTGAGGTTCTTCAGCCAAGAGGGAGATGATGAACCCGACCTTGAGCGCTTCCAGAGAAAAGGTCCTGGGTTGCAGAGCAAAATATAATTCACAGGCATTCTTGAAAGCTCTGAACTTACGTCGATCCCTAAGAAAACAGGGGAGTAGGAACTCTGGGTTCCAGAGGTGGTAACAGTATAGCAGGAGTGGTGGCAGGAGACTAACTGGCAGGCGCGGCTACTGGATTGGAACTGGCGGAGGGATCCTGGTCCACGGAAGTAGGGAGTGAAGACGCCCTTCTAGCTGGAAGTATCCTTACTGTAGATCCTTCACTGCTTGGGTAAGTGCCGTCATCTGTTGGCGGCACAGGGCCTCTAGTGCGGAAGCGCCTCTCTCGGCCTCGGACATTCTGGCTGGATGATACTATCACGTACCTGGTGATGGAGGCCAATGGAGAGAGGGCTTCTCTTACGGCTAAGTTCCGGACTCCCCTGAGAGTGGGAGTCAGGCCTAAAGTTGCGCAGGTCGCCTGTAAGAGTGCTGGTTGGTGGTCCACTCAGAAGCACAGCAGGTGCACGGAGATAGGTCTGCAGACAGGAGGCGCCTATGTGTGGTATGTAAGCCCTTCTGGGATTTAGATGTCTACTGGGCAGTCGGTTCAAGCCAAGGTCAGGTACCAGGTGGGAATCAGAGTAAACGTACAGTAGTCAGATGGGATAGCCGAGGTCATACACAGAGGAGCAAGAGAGAGAGTATCCGTAAGCCAAGCCAATGTCAGATCAGGGGTAAAGCAGAGTAGACAGGTCCAGAAGCAAGCCAAGTCGGTAACAGGAAATCACAGGTCAGAATCACAGGAAAAGGGCACGGGGAGCTGGAGATCATCCAGCAACTTGAGGAAGTGATGAGCCTCCTTATAAAGGCCGTCTGGCACCAAAATGAGGCTGATGTATGCTTCTGCAGTCATGCAGAGTACTGGCAGAAATGCCAGATCTTCCAGAATTTCTGCCCTGGACATGACCCTGACCGGGAGGCTCGACCCTGACAGGGAGGCTCTTCCCGACGCGTTTCGTCATAACCAGACATCTTCCTGGGTTAGGAGACCGCCCTCCGTCATCGTGCTTATATAGATGAAAAACAAGCCTCAATTTTGAATTAATCAGCCTCCATATTGGTAACAAAAAATGGAAGTTGGCCGAATAAAAAACAATCCAAACCAAGTCTCCCTTTTATATCCAAATTGTACGTGCGCCCCCCCCCCCCGCCGACCTGCAGGTGTCATGATTCGATCCCCGAGGGATCAATCATTCGCTTTCAGCCAGTGATGTCTGGCTGAAGTCGGATGAACGGTCCCTGTCCTATCCTGTCCTGTGTTGACAGTTACACAGGACAGGATATGATGTCAATCTTCTCTGCCTGAGCACATTCTGTCCCAGAGAGAGAAGACATACAAAACGTGAGTACAAAGCACTACACTTTCAGTTAGAACACACCTAGGTCACATTTAACCCATTGATCCCCCAGTTAACCCCTTCACTGCCCTGTCACCAGTATCATTATTTACAGTGCACAGATTTTTTGCTGATCACTGTATTCGTGTCGCTGGCGACTTCCGATAGTGTTAGCGTCAGTTAGCGCCTCTCCCAGATAGCATCAGATTGCCCGCTAGTACACCAGTAATAACATTTAACCCCTTGATTGCCAGGAACACACTCACTTGCACACTAAACCTCCATTGCTATTATAGTGTCTGAACAGATCAATATCTTTGATCAGATCAGCACTATACCAGCGTTCACATTAGTATAGTGTCCCCAAAAACGCAGCGTTAGCGGGATCAGCCCCGACACCTGCCAGCACCTGCGTTTAGCCCCTACGCCCCCCCCACTTCTCCCCTAGCAAGTGCAGTGTCAGTAGATAACTGTCACTTGATACATTGCACACAAAACCGCAGTGTTTACAGAATCAGGCCTGATCTCTGTTAGCACTTGTTGGTACATTTTTTTGTAGCGGTACAAGCAGTCCCTGACAGCCAGGCGCTCTTTTTTTCTCCGTGAGTCGCACTAGGTACCTATAAATTTTGTGGCCAAAATGTCCAATCAAAGGTACACTAGTGAAGAGGCCTACAGGATTCTGAGTATGTCAGGTGAGTGCGAAGTGGAAGACTCACTGACAGAATCCGCCTCAGAATACAAACCTGTAGACAGCAGCGGCACCCTGACAGTTAGCTCAGACGACGGAGAAGAGGTCCCTGCTGAGATCACGTGTACCCAACCCCATTTCCAGGTTGCTGAGGTGGTACAAACGCATGATGATTCTCATATGCAGCAGAGTGCCAGTACTAGTTCCGCGCTACCTTTTGGTGAACTGGCAAGCACCAGCGGCCTAGTATGTCCTGGTCTTATACATACCAGCACTGCAGTATCACTTGGTGACGTGGCGAGTCCCATAAGTGCAGTACAAGCTTGTACAGTGGTGAGCACAAGTAGTGTCCCGCGGCCACCAAGAATTCGCACACAGGCCCGTAGAGCCCCTAGTATCCTTTCAGATGTGCTTGCAAATCCCGATTGGCAGCCCACAAATTCTGCAGCACCCATACTTCCCCCATACACTGCCCAACCTGGAATTCAGGTGGAAACACCAAGTTTAAATACTCCCATTGATTTTTTTGGAGCTGTTTTTCACAGATGATCTTTATGCATTGATTGTGGATCAAAGCAATTTATATGCACAACAATTTATCGCCGCCAACCCAAATTCAAACCTTGCCAGACTATTCGTATGGAAACCCATTACGGTTTCCGAATTTAAAGTTTTTTTGGGCCTAACCCTCAACATGGGCATTACTAAAAAAAATTAATTGCGGTTGTATTGGTCCTCAGACCCGATTCATCATATGCCCGTGTTCTCTGCTGCCATGGCCAGGTATAGATATGAGACGATATTGCATTTTATGCACTTCAATGACAACATACTCAGTCCTCCTCGGGGTGGACCCTCGTAAATCACTTTAACTAAAAATTTGCAGATGTGTATACTCCCCAGCAAAACATCTGCGTTGATGAGTCACTCATTAATTTTTCTTGCCTTGCATTCAAACAGTATATCCCCAGCAAATGTGCCAGATATGGGGTCAAGATGTAGAAGACCTGTGAGAGGGCAACAGGCTATAAATATTAGTTTCGGATTTACGAGGGAAAAGATAGTCATGTGAAGCCCCCCGGATGCCCAGACTACATGGGGAGCAGTGGCAAGATAGTTTGGGACTTGGAGTCATCCTTTTTCCATATGGGGTACCACTTATACGTGAACAATTTTTATTCAAGCGTGCCACTATTTAGACATATGTACAATCTTGGAATTGGCGCATGTGGCACTGTGCAACCTAATCGCCGGGGCTTCCCCCAATGGCTTGTAAATACCTGTCTTAGAAAGTGGGAAAAAGCCTGCTTGAGAAATGAAGAATTGCTCGCAGTGAAGTGGAAGGACAAACAGGATGTTTTCTTCCTGTCTTCCATTCACACAGATACGACCATCCAAATTACCACGGCAGCTGGTGTTGTTGAGAAGCCCCATCTGTGTCCACAATTATAACCTTAAGATGGGAGGGGTGGACTTCAACAACCAGATGATGAAGCCGTATTTAGTTTCCTGAAAAGCTAGACGCTGGTACAAAAAAGTGTCTGTTTATTTGTTTCAATTGGCTTTATATAATGCTCTTGTTCTTTACAAAGCAACTGGACATAATGGATCCTTCCTAAAATTCCAGGAAGAGATCATCACGGCCCTTTTGTATCCAGAGGGTGCTGTGGCCCCAACCCAGATGCAGTTAGCCGGCTGCATGAAAGGCATTTTCCCAATGCCATTCCTGGTACCCCAACCCAAAGGAAACCCAAAAAAAGATGTGTCTGTAGCAGACATGGAATTAGGCGTGACAGACGCTTTTTTTTGTCCCTCCTGTCCTGACCAACCTGGCCTCTGCATCAAGGACTGTTTCCATCGCTACCATACGCTAGTGGAGTATTAGTATAGGTTACAGCACGGCACAGTTCAGGGCACATTTACACAGGGTCTCGAAAGATGTTAGGTAGTCAGGAAACTGGCTATCACATTTGGAGAGACCCTACCATCTGTTTTTAAAACGTCAAAGTTTGAAGAAAAAAAGAAGTTAAAAAAAAATAAATAAAAAGTACAAATCCCCCAAAAATTAAAAATATTAAAAACCAAAAAAAATAGTTAGTTTTTTTGTTGTTGTCATTTTGTTGTTATTATTCTACTTTTACTGTTTTTATTGTTACTGTTTTATTGTTAACCATTGCTGTTTTCTTTGCAGGAATGCTTTCAGCTGCAGCACTGACCTGTTTATTCTGACAGCAGCAGGAATGTGCTTTCAGAATATACATAAATCAGTGTGGGCAGCGCTGTCGGATGAGATTTTTCATCCACATTTTAAAAAAAAAAACATATATGCCGAAGCATGGGGGTCTGGGGTGGCCAGTGGGTGAATGGCCCCTATGCTTCGGCATATATATTTTATAATATTTGTTGGCACATTTCATGTGTGCCCACCATTAGAAGTGGGTGGATGCAGGGAGGTATTCTAATGGTGGGCATACCACCACACACTTTTCCTTGCAGAGATATTTCAATTATAAAGTTGTTTTATTGAGTTACTGTTTTATTGTTAACCATTGCTGTTTTATTTGCAGGAATGTCAAACTGCAGCACCGACTTGTTTATTCTGACAGCAACAGGGTCTTGCTCTCAGAATATACATAAGTAGGTGCGTGCAGTGCTGTCGGATGAGATTTTTCATCCGCAGTTAAAAAAAAGAGCATATATGCCGAAGCATGGGGGCCTGGGGTCCAGTGGGTGGATGGCCCCTATGCTTCGCCATATATATTTTATATTTGTTGGCACATTTCGTGTATGCCCACCATTAGAAGTGGGTGGATGCAGGGAGGTATTCTAATGGTGGGCATACCACACACTTTTTCTGGCAGAGATTTCTTCTCTTTTTTTTCCATTCAGCCCACAGTCTGCATAAAAAAAAAAAAAACAACATAGCATATACACTCAACAAGGACCAGCGACGTACTGGTACATCACTGGATTTTGATTGGTTATACCAGGTTGATGCCTGTTTTTTTCAGCTGGCAATGGGCTTTTATGTAAAAGCAATCCTAGTTGCTAATTAGCTGCAGGATTGCTTTTACAAGCAGCCCCCCTCCCCCGCTACTTTCCACATTCTTCTTTGGCAGTCCCGTGCCATCGGGAAAACCTGAGAATGCAGTCGTTGTTTCTGCCAGCTGACCATAGAACTGATTGGAGACCGGAATGGTGCCAATCATCTCTATAGTCTAAGAAATCAAAACTACAAGCATTTCATCACTTCAGTTGCGCAGGATATAAAAAGTGCCATTTGTAAATTGGGAAAGCATCTGATCACACTGATCTTGGTGAGATTAGATAATGTAAGGGCAGGAGATATCTAGAGTATGGTAGACCCCAGATTTCTCAAAAAAGAATATATGACAATGCCCATTGAAGTTATAGGGGATATTTGCATTCCCTGTGATAACATTAAAAGTGCTAAAAAAAAAAATATTAAAGGGACAGCGTAAAAATAATTAATCAAAATAACTTAAAAAAAAAGTACCCTCACCCCCCCCCCCCTTCCCCCGCGCACGCGTGCATCTGTGTTCGTGAATGTTGACCCTGTGCCAGTATGGAAACAGCGGTTGCACCATGCATGTGAGGTATCGCCACCAACGTCAGATCAAGGGCAGTAATTCTAGCACTAGACCTCCTCTGTAAATCTAAAATGGTAGCTTGTAAATGCTTTTAAAGCTTTGCCTATAGATATTAAATATGTATGCAGTTTGCCGCCATTGCACGGGGCATGCACAGTTTTAAAGCATGTCATGTTTGGTATCGATTTACTCAGAATAGCATCATCTTTTATATCTTACCAAATAATTTGCCAATATATTGTGTTTTTGTGCATTAAAATAAAAAAAATTTTTTTTTTTTAAATTGCGTTTGAAAAATCGCTGTGTGAGTACTATGTGAGATAAAAAATTGCTGCACCCACCATTTTATTCACAAGGGTGTCTGCGTTAAAAAAAAATATAATGTTTGGCTCTCTGGGGGGCGGAGCCTAAACATGGCGGCAGCGGAGAGCTCGTGGTAGGAGCTCCCAGCCGGAGCCCCTCCGACTGATCCCCTGCTGTGACCCACGGAATTCCCCTGAAACATGGAGCTTTAGAACCCTGAGACCTACCCCGGACAGGCGGGCTCCCTCGGTTGAGTGGCGGCCCGCGGGAGAAAGAGCGGAGGAACGAAGCTCTCTGAGAGAGGTGGAGACGCTGAGTGCGGTTGCCGGGAGACAAGGAGGTGCGGCCGGAACATGTGACCGGCCGCAGTGCATCCCTGGGAGGCGAGGAAGCCGGCCGGCCGGCTGGGCTGGAGGCAGACGGGGAATAGGAGAGATATCGTTCTGCTGGGCAACTAGCCCCTAATGTAGCCCAGGGGGGGTGAAACGTGAAGAACTGCCTGCTCAAGAAGAAAGTGGAGGAAAGTCCTGGAGGGTCCCCCTGAGAGCAAGAAAGCCGACCTGCGGGAGAAACTGAGCCTGGAGCAGTCTCATGTGAGGAGCAGGAAGGGTGAGTGGCTCCTGGCTGTGGCCTCAAATATAAAAACTGTGCAGATTTGGGAGAAACTGTATTAAGCTGAAGGAAGCCAGAGAGTGAGAAAAAAAAAAGGGGGGGGGCCCCCCAGAGAATATAAAGAAGAACGTAAGGTGTAGGCAATAACATTCAGAAAAGTTAACAGAAGCGGCTGGGAGCTTTATCTCTATACCATAAAGACTTCTTTTCTCTGTGTAAAATTCAAGTTTACGAGAGAAAAATAAAAGAAATAGAAGAAATGAAAAATAAAAGTGCAAAGGTAATCGGGCCTAAAGGGACCCAAATGGGTACAATAAAAAAGTACACATCCCAGGGAAACGTGACCCCGGAAAGGCCCCGGAGTAGAAATGACAAAGGAGAATTAGACTTAAGCATGCAAAGTAGTCCTAAACAATTAATGGAGTTGGATATCAGTAGTCAACAATTATCAGAGACAGAAAAAGATCTACAAATTCCAAATAAAAAAGAGATGACAGAAATGTTTAAAGATCTAGAGAGAACAATAAAGCAAGAAATGGTAAATATTCGGAGTGATCTGAGGCAGCTGTTGTTACGAGTGGAGGAAACGGAGCAAAAAGTTGAATAAACCAGACCCAGACTATTTCCGAATTAGAAAAGAAGATAATTAATATGGAAAAAGTTCAGGAAAAATTGCTGTACAAGGCGGAAATTCAAGAGAATAGAGAAAGAAAGAGAAACATAAGGATAAGAGGGGTACCGGAAAGCCTAAAAGGAGAACTAATGGAAGAGGCGGTTGGTAAAATACTGAACTTTATAATGGGAAACTCTGATATGGAAAAGTCTAATATAGAAAGGATCTCTAGAAATGGGAAACTCCAGGGGAACCAGGAGAAGAAAAGGCCGAGAGACATACTGGTCAAATTTTATGATCTGCAGCAAAGGGAAAGAATCTGGAGGAAAACCAGTAATAAAATCTGGAGAAATGGACATCCAAATATATGCAGATTTGTCATTGAAGACTCTCCAAAGGAGGAGAGCTCTGAGGCCTTTGCTGGAGCAGATGAGAAAACAGAAGGTGCAATATAGATGGGGGATACCGGAGTGCTTAATAGGATGGAAAAACGGAATAACAGCCCATTTGAGGTTCCCAGAGGACTTGAGAATTTTTTTCGATAGACTGTAAATGCAGAGAATTGAAATTAATGGATGGGAAGAAGAAACCGGGGGAAAGAGATTGGGGAGAGGGGAGGGGTGGAGATTGGTGGAGGGGGGGAGGTAGGGCGCGGAGGGAGGAGTGGAGGGAGAGAGGTAGTGTTTTTTTTTTTTTTTTTTGTTTACCT